AAAAAAAAAAAAAAAAAAAAGTTAAAAGTTAGCTTTTTAACACATTCAGCAAGTCACATATTGCCTCTCATTAAAATGTTGTTTACAAAATTGTATATATCGATAATAAACGACAAACGATGCATATGAAACTAGGATGAGTTTACAAGAAATAAAATCATGGAAATTGATTACATACAACTTAACGAACAGGACATATTATTATGAAAAAATAAGGATAAAAATTGCAGAACTGAAACTGTATGACTACACAGTCTTTTAAAATAGATTAGTTGCCTCACCGTGGTGCTGGAGGGTACGGTCGACTTCTGTCTTCCAGGATACGATTGATTTTAGACGCCTAATGCAGAAAGTACCTTCTGTTAGTTTTGACAATGCGACCAATGGCAGCACTCTCTTACACAGGAAAGAAAATTATAAGCAGAAGCCAACTGACAAGTATGTATTCTGGAAGCAGAAACATCCTTGATATCAAAACATAAGGAGAGATAGGGTTCCTCACTTTTATACATCATGGGGATAGAGGAAGAGTTTCAACATGAAGGCTAAAACTCAATGCCCAATGGAGGCTAGTAACTAAGGCCATTACTCTGCAAAAAAGCTGCTAGAGTAATGACAAAACCTGATGACTGAAAAAAATATTCTGGACATATATATCTCTCTCTTTGTGGGATTATTGTCGACCTCTCTTATTCCTTGATGGGTCTCATGACAGCAGTAAGTCTGTGAACTTGTCAAATAGAGCATCTACATCCTCCAAAAGGAATTCGAGGTTGGAGGTTGAAGAAGAGGTTGATATGTTATTATCATTTTGTCGACACAAGGAAAAAGTACTGTTGTCTGCTGGTTGGGCAGTTAGTATTACACATGTAGGACAGAAATTTGAAGGTGGAATTGTTGAATTTCGTAATGCATTGTCAATGTTTTCTATTGAGTGTGGATTTGAGTTCATATTTGTTAAGAATGATAAAGTTCGTGTTACTGCACAATGTTTGTTTAGAGAGACAAAAGGTTGCATGTGGAATGTTCATGGTAGAGTAGAGAATGCTAATGGGTTCTTTTATATAAGGAAGCTGAACAATGTCCACACATGTGGTGCTGAAGTACGTACGATGAATCATTCTCGTATGAGTTCTAATTTAGTTGTTGATTTGATTGCTGAAGGTGTTCGTGATAATCCATTGACATGTCCAGTTCATGTTGTTCGGGATTTTAAGTTGGGGTATGGGTTGAGAGTTAGTTATTGTCAAGCTTGGTTGGGGGTAGAGAAAGCAAAATGTGAGATTTTTGGAGACTACTTAATGTCATTTGACCAGTTAAGATGGTATGTAGATATTGCAAAGAGTTGCAATCCAAGGAGTTACATTGAGTTTGAGTGTGACGATGATACTAAACGGTTTAAGAGATTATTTGTTTTTTTTCATGGTTCCATTAGTGGATTTGATTATTGTCGACCTCTCTTATTCATTGATGGCACATTTTTGAAGAGAAGATTTAGAGGAAATTTACTTGCTGCTACAGGAAAAGATGGAAATCAAGGTACATAAGAAATCTGTTTTCTCTTTTCTGAAATTGAGAAAGTTCTCAGTTTAGAAATATGATTGAATGTTTTAAATTTTATATAATATTGTTGCTGTATATGCATTTTTTATTTTTTTAGTTATTTATTTTAGTGTTTGGTATTTTGAATGTTAAAGTGTTACTATTTTCTAAGAATAATAGAATATTCTCATTTTTTCTGTTTTGTACATGCAGGGTTCTTTCTTGTTTGTTTTGTAGTTGTTGGCTCAAAGAATCAAGACAACTGGCATTGGTTTTTGGAGCATTTGAGTACAATTGTTTCACCAGAACAAAATATTACATTCGTATCAGATCGTAACCTTGGATTAGTTGAAGAAATTGAGAAAGTTCTCAGTTTAGAAATATGATTGAATGTTTTAAATTTTATATAATATTGTTGCTGTATATGCATTTTTTATTTTTTTAGTTATTTATTTTAGTGTTTGGTATTTTGAATGTTAAAGTGTTACCATATTCTAAGAATAATAGAATATTCTCATTTTTTCTGTTTTGTACATGCAAGGTTCTTTCTTGTTTGTTTTGTAGTTGTTGGCTCAAAGAATCAAGACAACTGGCATTGGTTTTTGGAGCATTTGAGTACAATTGTTTCACTAGAACGAAATATTACATTCGTGTCAGATCGTAACCTTGGATTAGTTGAAGTTTTGCCAAAGGTTTTCCTAATGGCATTCCATGCTTATTGTTTATATCATTTGAAGATGAACTTGAGGCATCATTTGCGTGGTATGTTTCATGGATTGAAAGAAAAGCTGATCACTCTGTTTGGGAAATGTGCATATGCTCCAATTGAAGAAACATTTCATCAATGTTTGGTTGAGTTAAAGACTGAAGGTAGGTCAAGAGTTGAAAAGTTTTTAGATGACATACCATATGATCATTGGAGTAATGCATATTTTCGAGGGCAACGCTTTGGAGAGATGTGGTCAAATGTAGCTGAATCTTTTAATTCGTGGATATGAGAGGAACACCACTTGCCTATCACAAAGTTGATTGATAGTGTAAGAATTAAGTTGATGGGGGAAATTGCTAAGAGGAGGGAACTTGTTAATAAATGGAATGGTGTGATATGCCCCAAAATGGAGTCCAAATTGCATGATGGTTTTAATACTTCGAGGCCATGGATTGTTAGTTCATCTGGGAATGATGTCTATGAGGTGCATTCACATCCATCTGTACCAGTTGACATTAATAGACAAATATGTTCATGTGGCGAGTGGCAATTGAAAGGGTTTTCATGTGCACATGCAGTTGGTGCTATACAAAAGAGTGGACATGATTTGAGTTTATTTGTTGATTGATACTTCTATATTCAAAGTTATCGAGAGTCCTATTCTTTTTCCATATATCCTGTTCCTTTAATTTGGAAATCAGATTGTAATGTTGATGGTGATAGTGATGTTGTTCTTCCTCCTATGTCTAAGAAGCAACTAGGAAGGCCAAACAAGAAGAGGATTCGTTCTAATGGTGAGAAAGTAAGGCAAATTACTTGCGGTAGATGTGGGAAGGTTGGAAATCACAATAAGAAATCGTGTAAGGAGGCTTTGTGATTTTTTGTAGCTGCTTTGTGATTGTAAAAATTTTGTATTCATAAATTTCTTGAAGTAGCAGTTTGTATTGTTGAGAGCTGAGTAATAATCTTCTATGTTTTGAATAAAGTGACATTGAATTGAAAGTGAAAATATTCTTAGTTTCAAATTTTAATTTTGAAATTGTTTGTGATAATATTTTTTGGTTGACTTTGTGTTTGTTTTTAATGTGAATTATTTGTTTGGTTGACTTTTGTAAATAAACTTGACTGTTGAATGTTTGTTTTTGAAGATTATGTGAATACTGTATAAAAAGAAAGCATATTCTCAGTTTAAGTATGTAGTTCAAAATAGCTGATTTTGTGATAATAGTGTAAGGCTCTTGTCATGAATTGGAACTAGTTATAAATGTGATCAGTTGAATAAATGTGAATTAATATTCTAAATAGATATGATCAATGCTTTATGTTTTGAACAAAGTAACAGTGGACTGAAAGTGAAAATATTCTTTGTTTGGAATTTTAGTTTTTCAAATTGTGATAATATTGTGAGACAGCAAATAAATTGTTGTCATAATATTGTTGTTTTGAAAATTGAGTGAACACTTTATAAAACTGAAAATATTCTCAGTTTTAAGTTTTTAATTTCAAAATAAGTGATTGTGATAATATTGTGAGGCAACAAAATATTGCATAAAAACTGAAAATATAAACAAAAACATCAACAAAGCACTAATTTTGATACAGTAAAGTCTTGTGTCCACTATTTTTACTTGTAACACTATTTTCACTTTTCCAATATAGTAGTGTGAGGAACAAAATAATAGAAACTGAATATATGGACAAAAACATCAAGAAAGCCCTGGTGCTTATATCTTTGAGAGTATGATAAACTATTCCATTACACATCATAGAAATTGTAACATGTTTGTGAGGCGATATGCTTGCAACTATCAACAGAGCCATTAGTCATTGTATCAGAGTGTGACAAAAAAGAGTTCATTGAGTGATTTTGAGACCCTTGCAACACACCCAATTGCCTGAAGGGGTAACGGAAGAAAGAAACTGCTTGCAACAACAAGGACTGCAACGAATAAAAATAACTACCAATTTTTTACCATTACAAGTTATTATGTTATCACCATACTGGTGAATCCTACCAGGAAGTATGGAAGCATAATACGGATAAAACAGGGGTTTTAAAGTTGGACACAACAACTCGATTCAATAAAAGGCCTGAAGTCCTTTGATCTTCCTTGGAGTCCAAATTAGAAAGATTACCATTCACAACACGATAATCAGTGCTGGATGAATTGGTCATACCAGTCAAAGAATTAGGGCTTCCATTCTTGGAATCACTTGACTCAACTTCATCTCCACTTTCCCCTTGAACTGAAATAGCCTCTTTCTCATGTGCTCCATTCGTTTGAGTTACATTAGCAGCTGCCTCTTCAGCTTTCTTCTTCTCTTCCTCCCTTTGTTGTCTCCTCCTTGCTTCTTGCTCTTTTAATTGTTTAAATCTGGGTAACGCCAATAACTTGAGACCAAAAACAAGATTTGCCATTGCAACAATGCAATCATACAAAAACACACACACACACACACACACATAAGTATATATGACGAGCAATTGAATTATTTTCAATGCAATGTCATCATATTACAATAAGTGTTTGATGTAAAACCAAACACAAAACAAACAAGTCGAGAGGTCTCGAGGCAAGGCGCGTAGCCGAAACCTTCGAGAACTCAAGACGAACACGAACAAGGATGATCATCGAATGTTCAGAACGATGACGTCCATGTCTTGAGGACGGTCAAAAATGGGGTGTCTACAGTCCCTTTTGCCAAGTTCTTGATATCATTAATAAACACACAATTGTCATATCTTGCACCAAACCATATACAAGTACTACAAAACAAAAAAAAATGTGTTAATAATTAAGTCAAAATATTTTTAGAAAACAGAGCTATTTCTCAGTTTCGACAAATCGTAGTTTATACCTTGATTCTGTCTGCTTTTCTTTTCAAATAATTTGTAATTTATATTTATCTTTAGGAGGTAGCAATTGAGCCACATCATACTTGTTAGAAATTGTCTCATCTTTGTGTTCCTTCTCTTTCTCAACTTTAACTTTCTTGCCTCCATACTCATAATCTGATATCTCAGTAGTCTTCTTTGCTTTAGTTTTGATCTTTTTAATCATGGAATTCTGCAGATTTGTTTGTCCTAATTCTGTCAGATCATCTGCTTTTATTGCACAAACTTGTTGGGTTAAGTCATGGACCTCTTCCTCCACTAACTGATTCTGCAACTGAGAATTTTGACAATCTTTCGTATTTGTATTTGTCTCACAATCTTTTGTTGCAAAAGATTGTTGTGTTATCTCATGGACCTCTTTCTGATGGAACTCTTTGTCCACCACTTTAGAATTTTCATGGACCTCTTTCTGCAGCACTTGAGAATTTTCATCTCTTATTGTATGACCTTCATTCTTTGTATTTGTTCCAGAATGCTTTCCTCCACAAACTTCTTGGGTGATCTCATGGACTTCTATTCAACCAATTGGTTATGCAATCGAGAATTTTTATCTTTCAATTGTTGTATTTGTGCTGTGAGTAGCTTGTTATTCTCTTCAAGTTTATTTATGTAGATGGTCTTCACTGTGTTGTCAAGTTGCAAATTGTTGTTCTCAGTTTGAAGTTTCTCAAGTGTTTGTTGATAAATGTGTTCTTCTCCCTCAAGTGTATCATTGATCATAATGTTGTAGAAGCCATCAAAGTCTTCATTTGCTGGCTTTTGTTCTTGGTGGCATTCTTCAGCATCTTGACTAGCTTCTTCTTTTTCTTCTTTTTCTTGTTCTTCTTCTTCTTCTTCTTCTTCTTCTTCTTCTTCTTCTTCTTCTTCTTCTTCTTCTTCTTCTTCAGTATCTTCATGATCTTCTTTTTCTTGTTCTTGTTCTTGTACTTCTTGTTCTTCTTCTTTAGCATCTTCTTCTTCAGTATTTTTTTGTTCTTCGTCTTCAGTATTTTCAGCATATTCTTTTTCTGCGTCAGCATCTTCTTCTTCTTCTTCTTCTTCTTCTTCTTCTTCTTCGTTTTCAGTGTCATCATGTTCTTCATCACTTTCCACACTCAATCGAGCACTACTTACCTGTAGGTCAACATACAATATTCTTCTTCATTTTCATTGTCATCATGTTCTCCATCACTTTCCGCACTCAATCAAGCACTACTTACCTGTAGGTCAACATACAGTAGATATTAGTTTTTTAAATAATTAAAGTTTAGGAAACTAAAAAGTTTCTCAGTAATAATTCAGTGTATAAAAATAAGGATTTTTCCCAACTTGAATTGAAATTCAAGTGAGATGAGAATGTGACCTATCTTATTTTCTGCTCATGTAATGATATGAATTTCATACGTTTATGTAATTTGATAAGATTCCACTTGATCACCCTTGGGCATGATTCGTTAACTTCAGAGTGGATGATCAGTGTGTGCTCACATAACCAATACTACAAAGCAAATGTAAAGAATTTTTGTCATTTGAATAAGAAATAATACTCTCTGTTATTAACAACAAACTAATAGAATAGACTAAAGATGTACTATAGACGTCTCTGAACGTCCCGAGAAAATCCCATTTTGTTCATTAGGCTCACTACAGTTCGGACTCGATGTCACGGTTTTGAATCTAATCTCGCAAAGTGCAATGCAAGATCGTTAAATCACCAAAGAGTCCAAATCCAGCAAATTGTTTTGAAAATCTGATTTTAGAAAGAAGTGCCAAACATGGACTGCTTTTCCAGATACAGAGTCGCCACCTAAATATTTTATTTTGGAAAAATTTAGGAAACCCTGACTCGTGCCTAAGGCCACGTGTTCATCATCACCAAAGTTGCCTCGGCTCGGGAACTTGGGTACGATTGGGGAAGGTCATGCAATGAGCACCCCCACTCGCCCGATCAAAGATCGGCCACTACTAAACATGATATCTTGTTTTTGAAAACACATGTGCTCTATGGTTATTAACCTAGAATTACTATGTGATGTGCACAGCATACAAGTATAGACTAGATTGCCTAAGTTGGAACAAAACATCGTATATCCATTTGTTTTGAAAATGGAATGAAGTTTGCTACTCGCACGTAGGCTAAAACACGGGTTTCGACGAATTATTCCAATTCAAGCAACCCAACCTTCATCCACAGGCATTCAGGCAGTTATATCATATAAGCACATAGCCTTATGGTAAGCATGTTATCATGGCAATCACTTACACGCATGCAAGGATGCTAAAGCATAAACACTTACCGAGTACTCCGAGCCAAAAAAAGAAGCTAATTAGAAAACATGCATGAATCCTAACTATGCTGAGATGCCTAATGCAACACATGTAAGAATGCAACTAAGATAGGCTTGACTATTCTA